CCCCCCCCCCCCCCACACACAAACACAAAACATTCCCAATCAGCATGTTTGCCTAATATGGGCCATGTGTTTTATAGGCATGCTCAGTGTGGGCTGCATTCATGGTTGGTTTCTATTACCAAGCACATGCTGCATCTGATGGTAGTTTAATGATAGACAGTGTATTTAATGAGGTTGTTTTGTATGTGAACAAGGGTCCCCCCGGCATGCTGACTGGGAGGAAAAAACTGATCTTATATTTGAGTTAATATGGTAATTAGGTGTTGGTGAGAAGATGGATTAGCTACTAGGGAGGTCTTCTCCATCTCACATTTCTGTGAAGCAACTGCTCGACAACACAGGAATGTCTATCAGTCAAATGGGCCTTGAAGGTGTCAGCATACCCATTAATGCAGATTTTTTTTACTTGTATCAATTTATGTTCCTGATGAATTTTATAAAAGATAAAATACATGGGATAAGAGCATTAGCAATGGAATGTAGAGCAGAGCTATACAAAAGGGTGCCATATAGGGCTGTGTGAAATGGCACCGTTTTGATTCGCCTTGCGTTTCAAGGTTTGCGTGGAACAGCATTTTGTACTGAATTTCATTTGGATTCGAAACAGCTGATCTGTTTTACTTTGTCGAAACAGTGGGGCTGTTTTGACATTTCGCTAGATCTGGGACAGCCCCCCGCCCAATCCAGTGCCAGGGATGGGAAGTCAGCCTAGCTGGACTGACTTCCGAGCCCTGGCCCGATCCAGTGCCAGGGATGGGGAGTCAGCCCAGCTGGACTGACTTCCATCCCCAGCACTATGACTGAAACATTTTGACTAGCCTCGTTTTGTTCTGAGGCTGTTTCAAAGCCCTTTGTTTCATTTTGATTTTGCTGTTTTGACCTTGAAATGAGTCAAAGGTGTCAAAACGAAATTTCTCACAGCCCTAGTGCCATAGCTTAACTATTGCTGCAGGAAAGTATTTCCCATATCTCCAAGAACAGCGAGTGAGAACATTCCCATCTAGTGCCAGGGCTGCTTTGACTGTCCTGGTGTCTACAGTATGTTGCATTTCATCCCCATCTGCGCACTGCTGGGAATTGCTTTAAGGCATGGTATGCACAGAACTTTGCCACTTAGGAGCATAGGATTTGAGGGGGATTTCCCGGCCACTGGGACCAGTCTCCTGCATATGCAGGCACCCGGTTTTCCAAAAAGGTCCAAACAATCATCTACTAGGAGGCCCCTCACACACCACCATCAGAAAGCACCTTGTCAAAAGCTATACAGCATGTCACATGTGAACAGCAGGGGAGGCAAGGGTGCCCCCAATGTCTTGGTTACTAGAGTGATAGGAAATTAGTTGGTTAAAGTATGCTGAAATGACCTGGGCAGACAACCATGTCCTACCCTAAAGAGAAGGGCAAAAATGCCACAGTCCACAATAGTCTGACCTAGGAAAAATACTACCCCAGCTCTACAATTACTTTACTCTGAACACATGAGCCAGAATTACCAGACAGAGGATGGGAACCCTCTCTGGTGCCTACGAAGTGTCAGCACACCCAAGCCAGCACCTACCTGTAGCTCTGGCCAATGCCCAAAGCTTCAGAGAAAGGCAGAGAAAAGCCCAAAAGCGCCCAGAAGCCAGTCATTGCGAGGGGGGAGCAGATTTTGTCCTGGTACCTGCAGGTGACTGACAGAAGTCCTAAAAAAAAATGGACTTTCCAGCTGCTTTCCACAAAGGGTTCAAGTTTCCTTTCAGTCTCTCCATGGGGATACCCATATTTAAATCTTCATGAAACATTCAATTACTACACCAAGTAGACATGTCATACAGGCCCTTTCCATGAACCTCTCACATTCCATATTTAAGAAACTCCAATTTCTAGTCGCCACAACTTGCTTCCAAAGACCACTCCAGAATTGGACTTCTCCAGTGGTTAAAAACCTTCTTCTGATTTCTAATTCACTTGTGACTGGTTTAGATCCATTTGATCTTATGCCACAATAATTCTTTAAGTTACATAGCTATTCTCCCTCCCTGATATTTGCCCTGCAAATGGATTTATAAAAGAGTAATCATATCCCCTCTCAATCTTTGTTTTATTACGCTAAACAAACCAAGCTCTTAATCTTCTCTCATTGCCACCTTGGGAGCAGCCTTTCAGAGGAGGCAAGAGGCTGAAATGGTTTGTTTATTCTTAGGTCCCAGTTCAGCAAGGTACTTAAGGCATGCAACTTGGCATGAAGCATGCAAATAATCCCATTGATTCCATTCCTCATGTGCTTAAGTTAGACTCATCTCTAAGTATTTTACTGTGTCTGAGCCCTAAGATGGGGGAACAGCTTCATTGCAGGTTACCCTGAGGATACCAGAGACTAGGGTGGCCATCATAGAGGACATTCCAGTTTTCTGCTACTTTGTCTTCTATTGATACAAAACCCAACACCTTTATGTCCTCTATGTTTCTCTTCAAGAAAAGAGTTTCATATCAATAGAGGACAGAGGACAACCGGACTGTCCTCTATGATGGCCACCCTACCAGAGACACAGGAGCACTCTGCACTAAAACTGGGAGCCAGCAAGTATAAACCAGTGAATTTGAGAGGCTTTTTAGGTTGGTTGTTTCTATCAATATATATTTTTTAAAAGAATCCTAGATGAAAACATTTTAAATCTACTCATTAAAGTTGCGTTGGAACTTGATTAGTTCAGACCTCCCACACCTAAAACCAGACCCTCCAGCCCCAGTTGTCCCAGGGGACAAACACAGGAGGCATCTAGACAGTGACTGCTCTGCCCATTGAAACTTTACAAGACCTGTGCTGATTGGTCCTGTTTTAATGAACTCCATGTCCTCTCTCCTTGTCAGCCTGAAGAACAACCTGCAGAAGAAGCCAAGCCAAGACTCCATGGATCTATCTGGGATCCCCCTGACCATGCGAGATGTCCACCGCATGGCCTACTACCTGCAGAACAATGGGGACAACCTCACCTCAGTGGACCTGAGCTTCACTGAGCTAAATGATGAGATGGTGCGCATGCTCCTGCCATTCCTTTGGGCACTGCCCAAGCTCACTCATCTCTCCCTGAATGGCAACCGGCTGACCAGAGCCACCATGAAAGAGCTGACCGATACCATGAAGGACATGAACAAGTTCCCATGCTTGGCCTGGGTGGACCTTGGCAACAATGTGGATGTCTCCTCCATGCCGCAGCCATTGCTGGTGGGCCTGCGCAAGCGCCTCAGCCAGCAGACTACACTGCCCACCATCTATGAGTCACTTGACTGCGACTCCGAGCTCTCCAGTGGACATGACGGCAGCCAGCAAGAGGACGAGGAGGAGGGAACAGAAGGCATTCAGCCAGTGGCCAAAGACAAAGCCACCTCACCTGACTTCCCCCAGCAGTGCTGTGAGAGGTGATTGGATGACGAGCCTCAGCTGCCAGACTGAAGCCGCAGCAAGGAGAGCTCTGCGTGCAAACACAAAGCAGAGGGCCAGCTTCACCAGCTTCCTTTGGTGCTTCTCTTGCCTTCCCGACATCTCAGCCTCGCCACGTTCTCAATGAAACCCTATCTCCCTACACGCACTGCCAGCCAAGCACATTGCTGACATTCCAAACAGGAACCAGTTACTTACAGCGAACCTGGCCTCGGAGCAGGATCTCATTGGAGGATGGGGAATGAGTTGTTGGATTCGAAATATTCTCCAGAAGCAAATGGGCTGAGGGGAGGGGAAGAAACGCTTGGTCCTAAGTTATTCCCTTCCTTCCGTTTTCTCTTTGTTCTGTAAACCCTAAGGCCTGCGGCCTTGAGCTGTGCGAAAGGAGCTGCCCCAAGGGTCGAGCTGCTCTCGGGCTTTGTCAGATGCATCAGAGATTGGAGCCAGAGCCCAGCAGAGCGTGTCTCCCCTTATGCCTGGCTCAATTTTTTTTTCCCATTGTGTTTTGTGTTAATGTCCAAACAAAAGGAATTGCAGTCAGAGACCCAATGCAGTGGTCAGGCCCAGGGAGAACACGTGACAAAACTGCAGTGTCAGGATATCTGGGAACAGGGTATGTGTGTGCTGACAGGAACATGGAGGGGCTGGAGTGTAGGGGAGGAGGTATCCTCGCAGATTGAGAAGAGCAGTTTTACAAACTACGGCTTTTGTACAAACACCAAACCAACGAAAAAGCAAAACCAACCTGACCCAGGGAGAAAGCTCCCAGGGAAAAGGCCAGTCTTCAGGTCCAGAGGAGTGAGATGCGGAAACACCTACGGGGACGTCCTAAACTGCAGCAGAACTTCGGGTTGCTCCTTGTGAGACATTGCAGTCCATCCGACCATCTGTAGCCAGGGTGGTCTCATAACAGAGACACAATGTGAACAGTTGAGTCACCGTTTTTAGCATTGTCTAGGAAACCAAGCCAGTGATGCAATATTTCCAGTGTTTTCCATATTGTCCATGCTGTATGTAAACACAATAAATAGTTCTCTTGGACACAAGAGTGAAGCACTAATCCTGTGTGTGAGCATATGAGTTATTTGTATGCCTAGGTAGCACAGCAGGCATGGCAAATCACAGACCAGCAGCCCTGACACAACGCTCATGTAGCCCAGGAGAGGTCCCCCATGCATGCTAGCTGGGTAAACCAGAGCATTCTGCTGCTGCTTCCAGAACAGAGTCCTTGGGCTCCTGGAGGCCTTGAACAGGACTAGAATATGCCAGTTGCAGTACAAGCACAGATCCAAATGGTACTGACTAGCCAAGGCCTCTTAGCTAAGCAGCGCTTCCCAGCTCAGAGACAGTGGGGGTTTCACAGTGCAGTTGTATTTCATAGAAATTTAAACCTGTCACTAAGGCACAGCAGGAGTGGTTAAGGTGTCTCATTTTGGCTTGAGGGCTAAGAATTCACACAAAGGCTGCCTTCAAACAACCTCAATGTAAATGCAGCTGTGAAGTCAAAAGATGCCAGCCCCATTGCTCCTTCATGGGCTGTTAGTAATGGAAATGAGCGCACCTAAAACCATACCAGCTCTATGGGCTGCTAAGCTTAGGAGGGCCTGTGAGCTTGACCTCTGGCTGCCTCTAGCCCCCAGTCTTTCTCTAGCTCCTTTTCCCTCTACACAAGAGGGATGCTCATCCATAAATCCTCACCACCCCATGTGAGCTAGATAATTATTATCCTTATTCTTCAGGTGACACAAAGAGGTTAAGTGATTTTTCCACTGTCACACAGCAAATTAGTAGGCCTGACAGAAATGGAACCAAGCAGTTCTGGCTTCCAGCCTCGTGTTTGAATCACTAGACAACATTGCAACATCTGCAAATGTTTCCTAGTGTCAGAGAACTCTGATTTGCAAACTCACTCCTCTTTGATGAGGAGCAAGATTTGTTGATTATATCTTTTATTGGACCAAGTATATAGCTGGTTTAAATGTTAGACAAGTTTGAGTGCAAAATACCCTTCCTCAAGTCTGGGAAAGAAGCCGATACAGCCTAAGCTAAATATCAGGGCAACAATTGCTTTTGTTTAATCCCATTATGCAAACAGAAAAGGACAGAGGTCAGTAAACCTGTGGAGAATCTTTTTGACCTCTCAGCTCCTATTGGCCAAGTTAGCTCAAGATAGAGTCATCTGTGTTTTAACCTATTTCTCCACAGACCTCAAAATAGTCATAAGTAGTGTAGGGACTTAAAACCCTTTTCCCCAAAGTATGATCAGAATCCAATGATCTCTCCACTTTTTTTATCTGTGTCCCTAAAGCAGCTCACTGCCTGTCTACTGAGAATCAGGTACCAGTTCTTCCAAGAAAATGTTAAGCTCCCATTGAGGCAGGGCACTCTTTATCCTAGTTATATATTAAGTGATGTGACAGGGATGCTGGAGGGACAGAATCTAGGATGAATGAAGAATCCTAGGAGCAGCTAATCCTGGAGAAATGGCTTTACCTGAACTTTGTTGTCTTAGTGTTGATTACTTTGCTAATAAAGCCAAACCCCAGAAGGGGATTTTGTTGTCACAGTACACAGCTGTGCACTTCCTCTTCAATCTCAATTTCTATTTTATTTGTCAAAGTTTATCCTACCTTCCTGGATGCCTGAAAGCTGGAGTTAACCAAGCCCTGGCCCCAAACATACTTTAATTGAATTTAATGGGAGTTTTGCCACTGACTTTAAATGGAGCAGGAATGAACGCGGCTCTCAGGCTGTTAGAAATGCTTTGTTTCATGAACTCCTAATGTTAACACAGACTGTGCCCTATTGGCTGTATCATACTGAAGATACAGCAGGCTCAAGCATACATATCTGGGGGCAGATTCTGGCTGCCCCAGGTAGATGAGGATGAGGAAGACAAGATCCCAGAGGCAACAAGAATCCCTGGTGTGTAAAAGGGTGATTTGTTGCAGCTGGGCTTCAGTGCAGTCCAAAGGGGGCACTGTAGGCTGAGCTGAGGCAGCATACAGAGCAGTGCATTTCACAATCGCCCCGTGATGTGAACAGGCTTCCAAAGCTATCCTCCAGCCCTTCAAGTAGAGCAGAACAAGCCGATTTCTCAGACAGAGAAGCAAATTCAGAGAGTGTCTCCATTTTGCGACCAATGGAGCGTTGCAAACCCCTCCGTACAGCTGCGTGGCCACACCTGGCTCATTTTTTCCTTCAGCCATGCAGCATCAGTCTCCACGCATTGGAGGGAGCATGATATTTTTCTATCAATTTTTCCCTCTCCAACACAGTAATAACTGCCCTCCCAAAGCCTCTTTCCTCTGGGAATCCAGAGTGCTTTCCAAACCTCCACTTCAGTCCAAGTACTACTGAGCTAGTCCCCAGTCCTCCTGCTCCCCCAGCTTCCCCATGCTCTCCCCTCTGCACTGCTAACCTTAGTGCACTGAAGGGTTTTTGCAGCTCCCCGGTAAATGCCGAACAAAGCAGGAGCTGCAAGAAGCAGCTTGCAGTTGAGATGAGCTTCCCACTGGAGCTCCAAGTGGCTCAGCTCCAAAGAGCCTCGCAATTGCCTGCGAGTCAGTGCTGCTGAGGAGGGTCTACTAATTGTTTAAGTCAGCTCTGATGTATGGCTGCCAATAGCTGAAGTTACATATGGCTTGCAATGGATGGGTTTGTCTGAGCCACTGTCAGTTCAGTGTTTACTCACAGGTATCTACTTGGGTGGCCTGTAACAGAAAACTGGCCTCTCACCCTGTGGAGAGCTGGTCAATCAGCCTGCATGCACATGACATTAAGTTACACATCATGAGGTAGAGTAGTCCTAGAGCATGAGAAATCTTTATGACCTCTTGGCTCCCTGGAAGAGGGCCATGGAGATCACAGGTAGAGGGCCAATGCATCCTTGCTGCAATGCAGGTTCAAACTGCCCCAAAGGCAAGCTGCATTCATATACATGAGAGAAGTGTATGATCCAAAGCAGCACTAAAGCTCATGCAGTGCAGGAGGCCCGGGACTGACAGTATGTTAATACTTACTCTCCTTGCAGCAGAGGCTATTTTCTGGAAGTTTCATAGACAAGATAGAAACAGATGTATCCAGAGCCACCATCAAACCCACATTTGGCCTGAAATATCCTAGGGCAGGCCCTGCCTACAGCAAGGATCCATCCCTCTCTACCTTTTGCTACTCGAGGGAGACCTTCCCCCCCAGCACTGCATGTTGGGCTAGTTCTTGCTATGCTTGTTCCTGCTCCTTGCCTGAGCAACTCCTGGCAGAGTCAAGCCCACTTTGGTGTAAGCTAGAGGTGTACCAATATATCAGTTGCATATCAGATCAACACCAATAAAAAGGAAATTTACATTACTAGCTATCAGCCTTTTTTGGTTGGTGTAGCCGATAATGTTCACCGTTAAATATAATTAATTATGCCTTCTAGCTGGTGTCCCCAGATGCGTGCGGCTGCATGCACGAACACTACCAGGAATGCTGCTGGGCAGCGTGGAGAGCAGCTCCCTGCAGATAAGTCTGTGGAGGGGAAGGGGCAGATTGAGACCCCCCCCGGCCAGGGCGGCGAGTAGGACCCAGGGCAGGAGCAGGGTGCTGAAGTGAGACTGAGCCACGGGGCAGCTCATCCAGAGGGTGTGGGGGGGTGGATTCCTCCTGCAGCACGCACCCCCTAGGGAAGCATGGGGGGGCATGTACCCCCCCCCCCCAGATTTGTGCGCAGGACAGATATGAACTGCACACTATGGGCTTGAGGTTCTCTGCCCTGCTGCCTGTCCCCTGCAAGCCCTGTACCAGCCACGCATACACCCCCTACCTGCCCAGCAGCAGTGAGGGTGGTGAGTTGTTCTCCTTGCTGTTGGGTAGGCTGGGGGCATGCAACCGGTCCGTGGCTTCCAGGGCAATGGCAGCAGGGTGGAGAGCCCCGAGCCCAGTGGGCAGCAAGCATCCGCCCTCACCCCACTTGGCTCTGCTTCAGTTAAAAGCATCCCTGCACTTAAAAATGGTGGTGGTGGCACTTGAACTAAAGCTTATTCAAGGAGCTTTAGCTCAAGGACCTCTGCTGCCATTTTAAGCACCAAGACACTGATCCCCTGGATGAGCTGCCCATGGCTCCATCCTGCTCCCTGCCCCAGCCCTGGGTCCCATTCACTGCCCTGGCTAGGTAGCATCCTCTGCCCTAGCCTGACTCTCTCCCTCACCATGGCCGGGGGGGAAGAGGGGTCCACACCTTCCCTCCCTGTTTCCCCTTCTCCTCCACAGACTTTACTTGAAGGGAGCTGCTCTTCACTCTGTCCGGCTGCATTCCTCTAAACTGGTTATCGGATCGGTATCAGCCAATGTGGCTGGTTAATAAATTGGCTACCGGTATTGACCAAGAAAATTTTTATTGGTGTACCTACCACTAGTCTAAACCTGTTTAAATCACAAAAGCAGAGGAAAAAGCAGACTCCTCCAGAAACATCTCTCTGACAGAAGATCAAGCAGCAGGTTTAAGTGCTATGCTCGCAGTATCAATCATGAGCAGGGATCCAGGTTTTCCATTTCCCGCAAAAAGAGAGAAAAGAACATGATTTTCCCCTTTTAACTGAGAAAAATGTGGATTTTTCCTTTTAAACGGAGAAACGTGTATTTTCCAGTTTTGCAAAGAGCTGTCTGCAGGCTGGCAGAGTTCCAGCCTGCAAGGGGCTGGGGGCAGTGGGAGGAGCACAGCTGCCGCTGCCTCCTATGGATGGCAGCCAGGGCTTGGGCACTGCTTGCAGGGCCCCCAATGGCTGTGGGTGGGGAATGAACGGCACCAGCAGGACCCTGGGGGCTGGACCTGCAGCCTGGTGAGTAAAGGGGGAGGGGGAGCTCTAATTTTCCATGATAAAAAAACCCAAATCAAATACCTACCTTTATAGGTACTTAGAAAGTATTTTATTTTAGTGATTGAGGCACTGGTAAGCTTCCAAATTGCTTTAGAATTGTAAATATATC